AGCGTTACGCGCCGCCCGCCGGGCAGCGCCGTGCCTGGGCCTCCGGGCGGCTGCGGCTTTTCCTCCTTTCCCGTCGGGAGGAAGCGGGCAGGACAGTTAGGCCAGGTACGAGGGAGACGGAGAAAGGGCTGATTTCCTTTGAAGCGGGTAGGTGCGCATGCCTTATAAAGAGATATCCGTATAACGTAACTGGGAAGGTGTTTTTGACACTTTGCTTTGTAAACAGTAGGTCATCCTATTCACCAAAACGATAGAATAGGAAATCCACTTTATATTAGGTAATTTATTGTAAAATAACCTGTAAATCAAACGCATTGTACCTGAGAAAAGAAAATCACTATCTTTCTGTGTTGCCCACTTTTATTTTCAGATGGGGGGTGGGGAAGCTTGGTCCATGACCACTATTTATGTGGAGTCATGGTAAAGTGGTGCTTTGAGTAATGAAAAGCGTTGGAGGAAACTGATTTGTCATTTGACTTTTTTCTGTCCCCCTCCCTCTTTTTTTTCTGGACTTAGATATGGTGTAGGCCTCACCCATGTAACACACTGTTTTCAGACATATATAGAATAACATACGTTACCTATAAATTCTTTGCCCACAGAGATGGCACAGAACTGTGAATCTAACGATATGTTATGCTTTCCCTGTACGAGCCAGCCATTTTCTCTATGTTCAGTGCAAGTCCAGGTCAGCGTTTGTATTCACATGCTCTCAAGTGTCCTTGCTGTGCTCGTTGCAGCATCACTTCTTGTCTGCAAAAGCCTGTTACTGGTAGGCAGAAGGTCGAGGAGGGAAAATGTATTGTGGTATCCTGAGAGTCCTGTAAGGGAGGAACTGAAATAATTCAAGTACAGTTATTTGGCAGTTGTCTCTGTTTTTGGCCTTTATAGTGTTTGAACTTTGGGAACTATTTTGAATGGGGACAAGAAGTACTTGCTGTTCTCAGCACTGTGGTGAAAACCTGCAACCCTAACGTATCAGAGTCAGCATCCGATGAAACTAACGTAGCTAAAATGCAGTTTTGCTAGGTTTGATTTTGCTGTCGTTTAATAGGATGTTATGTTACACTAAATAGATCAATGATTCCAGCTATGAAGTTATTCTTTTGATTTACTGTCATATAGTTAGAAAACCTATAGCTTTTGAACCTAATTTAATATACCCTGCAATTAGTCATGTACTCGTTAACTATCTTATCATGTGTTTAATAAAATGTAAAATCATCGGCAAGTCTCCAGAACATTTTTATATGGAAAATAAGATAGTCTTGTCTGCACTAAAAGGCCTTGTGCATACTTATCCAGTGATGCAGCAGTTGTACTGAAGGTTTGGGCTTGTGTATTTCTTCCAAATTTACAGGTTACTCTTTCAAGTTGTAAGTTTCAGAGTCCTACTACGTTAGTGTCTACACCGTTGTTGCTTTTAAACAGTTGTAGTTTTACTGGATGCACAAAGAGGAAAAGAAAAATATTATCTCCACTGAAAGAATATTTTCAAGTATAGGAGTGCATAATATGGCAAGATATGTTTTGATGATGTGTATGTTATGTGGCAAAGTTATGAATGGTGGAGAACCAAAGGCTGTGTAGCAGACAGCAGAAATAGGTCTTCTAGTTCAAAGTTTTTATGGAAACTAACAAAGAGTACAGATTCTACAGGGCAGAACTCTTCTTCAACCTTGATGCCATTCTGTGGCCCTTTTCAAGGGAGACAGTGTAGATATGTAATGAAGTCCAACTTCAGTCTACTTCAAAAGGAATCAAGTGATTTGTCCATCACTTTGGTGATGGACAAATAAAGATCTGAAGAATTTTTAACAATAAACCCTGCTGATATAGCCAAAGTAATTTTTTATTTAGAATTTCAGGATTGATGGTTCAATAAAGATGGTAGAAGCATCCACGGAGCCCAAGTTTTACTAAAATGCTTGTTCAGATAATCTTCCTAAATTGAATTAAAGTTGGCTTTGATTTGATCTGGCTTGGGGAGAGGGGTGCAGAGGTTCATTGTTTGTCACTTCTCCCTCTCACCCCAGGCCATACCAGGTAATTAATCAAGTTACCGATAGCTGAGATATGCTACAACATACCTCTGGAAAGATGTTCAGTCTGGTCTATTTAATATCTTTTGCAAGCAGACAGTTGAAAAAACAAATATTTATGAAAATTGCAGGTATTCGTTTAGCAAGTCATGAACGCTGCTAAATGTCTGAGATAACTCTCTTTGCTGTTGTAATTTACAGCGCTTCAGTTAATGTACCTGGGGAGAAGTATTGGAGAAAACCTGCTTGCTAGAGGAATGACGTTTTTGCAGGAGGGAGGGAGGGAGGGACACTGATAGAGAGCTCATGCATGAGAATGGATAACAAATGACAAAGTTTAGTGATTAGGCTACCATTTCACATTGCAGGTTTTTTTTTTTTTTTAAACTAAGTAGGTGGGGCTGTCGTACCCTCCAGATGGAAACTGATACCTTTTTTGTCAAAGCGAGGTACTGAGGTACTGAGTTGAATGTTACGTTTCCTTTCCGTTAGGATAGAGTTGGAGATAGGAATGCAGATATGTTACAACCTAGATTAATTCCTACCTATGTCCTTTGGCTCTTTTGTGACTGCACTTAAGATGCACTGCATTAACTTCTGAGTAGACCCTTAGCAGAAAGGTTTTGACATTGTTATTCCCGCGCTAGTAGAAGATACAGAATGCAGCTACTGTTTGGGGATTTGCAGGAGTGAGGAAAGGATTTAGATACGGGAATGAAAGAACTTGATTTATAAGATTAGTATCACTTCCCCAGTTTAAACAATCTCCATCTATTTCGAGGTATAAATACTAATGAAGGAAAAGCATTGTTGGTGACCCAAGGAAATAAAAATGAGCAGCATAAGGTACCCATTCATGGAGAATATTTTTAATGGGATAATCTGCTGATCTGCGGAATAATTATATTTTTTGTTCCTGAACGAGTTTGCTGCCTTTCCTTCTCTGCCTTAAGAGCTATGAAAAATTGGTATGATGATATACTATTTGCTCTCTATAACTGAACCCATATAATTCAGCTAATCTTTGCTCTGTTGTCTGAGCTAGAAAATAACTTCTAGAGAGATTAGATTCTCTGTCACAGGAGGCCTTTAAACCTGTCATGACCACATGAAGATTATTGTTTGTAATTAAGAAACATGCTCCTGATTTGTCTCTTGTGACTAGAATAAATAACTAAAACCCCACACCCAACAAAACTCTAAGGCAATGACCAAATACTGCTAGAAGCTCTAAAATTTCTTTACACCTGAGAACTCCTAAGTTGGGTAGCTGTACCTTTTGGTGTCCAGCAACCACTGAATCATGAGATGTCATGTTTACTTCTAATGACTGCTGCCTTTCCCAGTCTGCTAGTGTTACTCTTGTGGTGATTTAAAAGTGAGAAGCACTGCCTATATATGCTTAAATTACCCATTCTGAGTTAGTTCTCTTGCTCTGTTGTCAGCAATTGCAGTTAAAAGAGAGTCTGTTGTGTTTTCAGGTAGGTATGAGAAATACAACATCAGTGTAGCTACAAGGAACAAAGCTTCTTGGTTTTACATTTCTTCTACAGAAGAAAAAAAAAAAACCATGTTCAATCCCCTACAGTTTTGATCCTACATCATGAGAATCTGACCATTACAGTTTGACAGTGCAGTGAGTGGCATCCTAGGGCAGTACGTTCATAAAAGGCCATCAGTGGCCTGGAGGGCTGAAGCATTGTCAGCTTGTCTGTGGCAGGTAAAAAGAATGACCATGGCTCATCCCATGAAGCTTGTGAACTGCCCCAGCTTTTTGCTATTAGAATGTGCTGGGTTTGCTTCCTGCCTCCCTCTCATAGCTGCTGTATTTCTCTTCACACAATCTATTACCAAGAAAAAGTTATGCAATGCCTACAGTTACTTTGAATGACTTAGTTTGCCATTACATACGTATTTCTTTAATATTTCACAGCTGGGCAGCCCTAAAAGAAGGGCTGGTGGTCATGTTGCCTTTGACATATACCATAATGTTTGTCATGATCCCTCAGTTTTGTTTGTTTACGACTTAATTGCTGAACATTTGTTCTAAATGGTATTTGTGAGAATTGGGAAATTGGGACAATGATTTCTTGTTTGACTGTAATTTATCTAGTGATCTTCAGAAACTATGTGTTCTATGACAAGAGTAGCCTTTTCTCTTAAACTGTTTCTTTTCTTTGTCATGTCTGCAAGTTCAGCAGCATGGTGACATCCTGCTGCCCTTTTCATTTTAACTGAATTTCCTACTTTCAGTATCAGATGTTTGATTCTCTTCTTGCATGTATAGTAGCTTTGATGCCAGCTTCCCTGGATCTCTGCTTGCCAGGGTGTATTTTTAACGTGCTCTATCTAAAAAGGCTCTTGGGGGATGAGGTGGGAAATCCTTTGCCTGTTTGCATCTCATCAGATAGCAGGAGGAGAGGAGTGCCTTTTATGCTAAAAGCAATTAAGAATCTAGACCGATATTCACTGAAATTGCTTCACACAAGAACATTGAGCCACTCTGCTGTAATATCTATATCTGTTTCCTCCTGATAGTGGTTAAACTAAACTGTGCATAAATTGTTGTTCTTTCTTCTACACCATCTCATTTCTCCCTTCTTTCTCTTAAGAGTCATATCTAGCAGGTGTTGTATTTTGTCGTCTTCCTCTGTCATGGCAACTATTTTTGTCTAGAAGGACCTCTCAGAACTGCTTGTTCTACCCCTTACTGGCTGTAAGAGTTGCTTGAGGTGATTCCTATCCCCTCTGCACTCTGTGGGTGAGTCTATCAAACATGAGCTTCCCACATATCATAGTTCTAGTAAGGAAAGAATGGTCTTTTCTCTCTGCTTTCCTTTCAGTTTTGACTAGCTGGTGCTATGATTTGTCAGGAGAATTAATAGTAGGATCAGTTTGAGATTAGGAGTTCTGATCTTCCACAATCTTTATGAAAAGAAGGGGAAAGCATGAAGATGGAAGGAATAGTCAGGCAGGTAACACATCTGGAGAGACTGATTATATATTTCTGAGATGAGGCAGAAAAGACTTGAGATTCTGGAATAACCAAATTACTCCAAATACTTTTATTCTCTAATTGTCATTATTCTGCGCAATGTTTCAGGG